TTCGCTTCACCGCCAGCTGATGGGATAACCTTGTTGCTCGAGACGCTTCGCGGTGTCCAATTGGCCCAAAGTTCACCACCCTCTTCCGGCCACACGGGCCCAAGAGTAGGAACCAGAAGAGCCGCTTTGGACGAGTTGGGTTGTGTCGAGTGTCTGGCCGCCTGCACCGAACGATGCACCGATGCACCGAGGCTCCTAGTGCAAGCTCAACCCGGTCTTCTTGCTCTGGCAGTTTGTCTGACTAGTAGCTTGAACCGGTCTCGAGTCCTAGCTCTCCAGGTAACAATCGTCACTTCCGTTCCGAGTATATCGCTTGGATACTGTTAGTCAAAAAAGAACTGAACTGGAATCGTACGTGGAATCTTACTCTCGTTTCGTGTTTCTTATGGGTTTACGATTCTCTCGCCTATCTCGCGTTATCATTTCACAAACACTTTAATCGTATATTAATATTAGTTCTGTGTTTTTTTTTATTCTGTGTTCATTCCGGATCTTTCGATTTAATCTCGTGATAAAATAGGAGTTATTACATTTTGAATCTTTTATGATTTATCGCTTTTATCGTTTTGCAAATAAATTCGCGTGTAATTCTAAAATTAAATTCTAACTAATTCGCGATTAAAATTGATCGTACTTTTCGAGGAATGTAGGATTAAAAAGAATTGAAAAATTATAAGCAAACTCGATGGGGATAGTAGTGGGTCAAGTTTCTGATGATGCGCACGTTTCTTAGATGTTACATCTGACTCATTCAGATAGTCGTAAACGCGCGTTTCCAGCAAACTCGGTCCACTTGATGGCCGGGGCCCCGTTATTTCGAGAACGTACACTTGTCAAGAACCAGTTTTTATCATTTATCCAAACGTTATTCGGCTAGCTTCATTTGCAAAACTCATACACGCCTTCAGACTTTTTCGCTACCTTTTATTCTCTACCGTCCGAGGAAGTGCACTTTGCCAAGCATCGCGGTTACGATCAGATGTTGACTAACCGAACTGGATAATTACTTCCACGGCACGTGATCACGGACTTATAGCGTTGGAAGAATATAATGAGAATAAAGAGATCTTTATCCGGACGGTGTGGAGGAACTGTTGATGAGATTTAATTGTTGACCACCGATATTACTAGGAAAATCTACAATTTTTATTTTTCACGTAACGTTTTTACGTAACGATTAATTAGGCGCTAATTTTATTCATTATAATAATGGGAAAATATATAAAATTAAATAAATATATATGTATTATATTTAACATTTTTCTCGAAATTGTTTGTCGATCTTCCAGTTGTTGACCAAGATATGTCAAACGCCAGGTGGTCACGCGGTAGTTTCGGAAGCTGTCTCCACCCTTAGGTTAAAATATGGCGAAGGTGGAAGATTTCGTTTCCTGGCTGGCGCTCTCTTGGCTCCCAGAGCAGCGATTGCACTGAGAGTGGCAGGAGTTTCGTTCCTTAACGCCTTCCTAAAGTCTGCACCGCGAACACAAACCAGATTATACATTCAGGTAACTATATATGGAATATATTGTGTAACTATATATGGAATATTTATCGTTATCTCCTCGATGATGTTTACGACGAGTAATGCTCGCTTTGTTCGCCATGCAGGCCGAAGCCTGCGAAGCTGGTCTAGAGCCGCAGGTCCTTCAAGAATGGCTGAAAGAATTGGACGGCAGGGAAGAGGATACTTTGAACGATCTTCTACATAAGGAGGTTCAGAAATGGTCGCACAACTGCGTGGATGTGGACGCCCTACAGCGACGTGTCGTACGTGCCGAGGAAACTTGTAGGATACTGAGCAAAAAGGTTTCGGCTCTGCAAACGCAGCTTCAACAAATGCAGTTGGAGAAGTTGAACAATTATAATAACCTAGAGGACCGTGAGAAGTTGACGAAACAGTCGCCGAAAATGTCCTCGAACGCGGAAGACGAGGGCATCAGCTCGTCGGAGAGATCGAGTAGCCCGGAGAATACGAAGCATCAATCTCGAACGAATCAAAAAGTAAACGTGTCTCCGGATAATGATCAGGAAACCACGATCGATGACGTGATCGAAGAACTGAGGATTATCGTGAAGGATGCGGAAGAAGAGATCGGAGACAAAAACCGGGAACAGAATCGAATAGATCACGCGAATCCGAATTTTTATAACGAAAATTCTTCGAAAATTAAGTTACATAGAACCGATTCGAAAGTTTCTTTGAACAATTCCGACACTTACATTTACGACAAGGTTTTAAAGAGAGATCATCAAACGGATATCAAGATTTCTGTGTCGAACGCGGGCTCCAACATGTCTCAGAGTGTGATCAAAGGAGAGCAGGTGACTTATTTTGGTAACGATCGAGATTATAGTATAGATTCGAACAGTGATAAAAGAATGAATGGCGAAAAACGCAGAGTTTCGAAATCTTCCTCGGTGGAAGGAAGCGTGAAGATCGTTGTGAAGGGACCTGAAGTCGAGGAAGCAATCGTTCCAACTATTCTACATCCTCAGCCACCTAGAAGATCGCCGCCTTGTTTGTCGGCTATCATGGCAGTAAGGCATTGTGACTTTATCGATCAAGAAGAGCCGTTCAATTCTCACGATGAAGATATAGAAGACGAAACCTTGGGCGATGGTAGTGATTCTCTCCTTAGCGCTTCTCGACTCAAGTACAACAGTAAGAACCAGACTTACGAGGAACGGATTAAAACCGAGGTTGATCATTTTCAAAAACAGTGTGATAGGAAAGAAACGGAGAATAACAATGATGGTAAGATGAAGAAAAGCTTCAACGATCTTCGACGTTTCGGTGAAAGTGAAATAAAGGATAAGAAAACAACGAGGAATTATGAAACATCGTGCAATGCGAAAAACAAAACGACGAATGACTCTAAATCGAACAACAGGCATTTGGACGGTGTATCCCAAAGACATAATTCGAAATACAGAAGCGAAGTGGAAAAAAGAAAGCTTCTTCGTAGATCGGCTAGTCACGATTATCTCGAATCAAGCGCTTCCAGTTCGCGATCGAAAAGATCTAATAAAAGCAGAATAGAAAGTCACATTAGGAAATTCGAGAGTCTGAATTCCTTCGACGAGCATCGAAGTCTCCAGAGTTATGAGAGACACGGTAGCTCGGAAAATCTAAGCAAGCAAGAACAATTCTTTGGAGAAGAGAATTCGAGGAATAGAATGCGCAGATCAGAATCCTTTCACCATGTATCTTATATCGCTAAAAAAGACCAGTGTTCCTCGCAAGGTGGAAGCGACAGTGGTTTATTTTATGTCACAGATTACAATCTTGAACCTCTAATAACGCGAAAACCAAAATCCATTGAGGCACCAAAATCTCCTAATCTATTAACCAAATCTTTGGATAGAATTGATGAAGGTCTGGATTCGATGATCGATATTGTGATCATGGAAGAGAAAAATCAATGGAATTCGAACAAATATCAATCCAAGACGAAAAAGTCTCGAGAAGAAAGGACACTCGTTAAATCGAAATCGAATAGATTAGAAGAATCAAAAAGTTGTTGCGAATTGGAATCCAAGGGGAGGAGAGAAGAATCAAAGAATAAACATTTGAAAAACGATGAATTTTATTCCGGACATGTAAGCAATAAGCAATTAAGAAGTGATGAATTGTACGAAGAACAAAGAAATCGAGAATGGAATAAGCTAAACTCTTCAAATAAAAACAACGAATTAGATTTTGATTGTACTCCAATGATACTAATAAAGAATGGAGTGAGACACAATTCGTTCAGTCAAAATGAAAATATTGGTAATAGATTTTTAAATAAATCAATGGATTCAGGGATTTTCGCTGGACGAACTTATGATACATTTGGATTAGGAAAAAGTCGATTTAATGCTGGAAAATATTCGGGAAATCAACAGATAAAAGAAAGTCCAATTGGAAGACGAAACACAGCTTCTTCTGCAAATGGAAATCGTGCAAAAGTTACTGATATTGTTTCAGGGCTTTATTAAAAGTAATTTTTAAATAATTAGGATTAGATCATCTAGATCCTGTTCATATCCTCATAGCCTACGAGGTATTGTATATACTATATAATAGAATATATTCTTGTATAGAAATCATTCTAAATGTTTTTCTTTTTTTTTTAATTTTTAAAAATATTTCATATTTTTTTTTTTATATTCGATATATATAACTATCGAAATTAAAATATAATATAATTAAGTTTTTAATTTATCTCAATTTGAACGAATATAATATTTCAGTGCAATGTTATTAAGTATTATGGGCGAAGTTAATAATCTAATTTATATTGTAATTAACATTATTGATAAATATTTTAATATGATATAGATAAATATTTTGGTGATGGACCAATTATACAAATGTACCAATTGCAAAGTTTTTTATGTGTGGACTGTGCAATATATTCTTTTTTATATATAAGGAATACCTCTATAATTATATTGAGTTAAAAAAAAGACTGTAATTTATGAAACATAGATGTGCATAAATAATATAAAACGTAAATATTTACACAACATATTATTTATTTCTTAATTAAAAAATATGAAGAAAAAGAAAGAAATACATACAAAATTTCATTTATGTATACAAAGTTACGTATATTTACATCTTAATTAATGTCATGCACAATTTGTTATAAATTTTAATTTTTTAAATTTAATTCTATAATATTAGAAATTATTTAATGTTCTATGAAGTGCACCACTATTTAAAAAAAAGGTGTAAAAATAAAAAAAAAAAAATTCAAAGATACAATTTTCATGAAAAATGTTCATAAAAATCATTTTTCGAAAAGTTTGAAATGAATTTAATATAGATAACATTATTTATTTTTTAACTAGCTGTAGCATGTAACAATGTAGTTGTAACTTCATTAAGTTCTTGACATGAACGATTGTTTCGATGAATGATTTCAAGACTACTTAACATTAGTGGTTCATGTGATTTATCACGTGTTATTTCCAAAAGTTGTTGCGATGTTTTATCTAAAAGCAAAAAACGATTAGAAGATACAAATATATATGCATAACTTATGTTAACTTATATTAAATTAAATATAGAGATGAAAAATTAAAAGGAATGCGGATCTGGTTACTTATAGTATCTTCATACAGTTGTAAGAATAGGATATACGAATTATAAAGTAATGACGAGATCTATCCTATTATAAATATCCTATTATAAATGGATACTATCAAAAACTTAATGATGAAAAATACTAGCCATTTTTGATTATTATATTATTTTATATTATATTTATTTTATATTATATTACCTTGATGCGTCGATAATAAGTACAATAATTCATCTTCGGTAGAAATGTATTGAAATTCTTCTCCGCAAGCTCCTTTAAGTACAGCAATAACATCCGACCGCGGATTGTAAAAATACAGACCTTGTTTTCGATTGTTAAATTCATTTATCAATGTTGCTATACCCTATAAGCAATAATTATATTATAATATATATTTATCATATTTTATTATGTAATATTTAATTATTTAAAAATTTACTTTTGCAGCAGTAAAATCAGCTCCTAAAATATATCTGCAGTCAACTACAACTGGAACTTGACTAGAACCTTGTTTTATACCGGCATTGCCGACCGACTTTTTAATAAAATCTACAGCAGGAAAATATAAACTGTTTCCTGGTGTTACTAAGAGATAGTCAGCACCAGAAGTTGTCTAAAATGTACAATTCATATAAGTTAAGAAACAAAAAGTTATTGATTTTTCATTCAGTACTCACTGTACATTTGTCAACATGTATTGTAGGACGTGCAGAAGGATACAATAAGAATATAAGATTTGTTCCTACACCTATTAAAATTCCATATTCAACTCCAATAATTAAACAGAATAAGAAAGTAGCAAACATTGGAATCAAATCTTTTTTACTAGTTTTCCATATGAGTTTTACAACTTGATATTCAATCATGTATATTACTGCAGAGATAATAACTGCAGATAAGGAAGCTAGGAAAATAATATCTATTTAAAGATAACATTTAAAATATGAGAAGAATAAAGAAAAATTATATTACCCTTTGGTATAAAGTAAAAGTAAGGAGTAAATAGACTCAATGCTAATAATATTAATATTCCAGTGTATAAACCACCCATTGGCGTTTTTACACCACTAGCATGATTTACTGCAGATCTGCTAAAGGAGCCAGTCACTGGCATTGCACTTGCGCAAGATCCAAGAACATTACAAATACCTAATGTAATCAGTTCTTGAGTGGCATCTACTTTATCACCATTTGCAAAGGCTTTTGCTATTGCCACATTTCCAAGAACTCCAATTATAGGTACTAATGCTATGGACGCACCCAATTCTGAACACATTTCAATGAAATTTAAAGTTTCATTTTTTACTTGAGTAGAAAAAGGTGGCAATCCAAAAGATGGAAGACCAGATCTTACAGGACCAGTAAGAATAAATGGAGAACCATATTCAATAGAGTTCAATTTGTAGGCAATAGTAGAACAAATTATAACAATAACAGCATTTCTAGCTGTTGATAATAACCATATCATTTTCATCAATATTCTTTGATATTTATTTAGTTTATCATTGTTTGAATATAACTTGATATCTTTCATTTTCTAAACAGTAGAGATATTTTATTTTATATATTTATAACTATCTAACTATATATAATTAAATAAAATTAAAAAAAGAAAATATAAATGAAAATGCATTTATGTTACCCTAAACAATAATAAAATAGTGATACAAGAAAAACTCATCAAAGTATCCCACAATCTAGTCTGATGAATGTTCTGTAATACTTTTGTTAGAGTATCTAAGGTTCCTTGTGAAGAAATTTTTAATCCTAAAAGACCTTTCAATTGAGAAACTACAATTATAATGGATGTTGCAGAAGTAAAACCAACTGTAACTGGTATTGAAATAAAATCTATAAGTACTCCTGTAAAGGAATTTTGCAATTTCAAGTAAGTGTCAACACAGTATTTTTAAAAAATTTGTATTAATAACATT